ATGGTCAAGTCAAGTTTATTTGTACAGCGCTTTTCACCATACAAATCATTGCAAAGCAACTTTACAGCCAATTAAGTTTCTACAATATTTAGTGGTAGTTTATCAGTGGTGACTGTTAAAATAGTCCATGTTACATCAGTGGTTCAACTGTAATTGTAAAAGTATTTGCGATAACAGTGTTTATTTGTCTGTTTAGGTCTGGTGTCGGTTTTGATAGTGTTTGTGTGGCTGGGTGGAAACCAGGTCTCTCCCCTCCGACCCATCTGTGACCTGAGGGTTCTGGAACACTTTATACGAGAAGCTCAAGATTCTGAAGTCATCATGGTGAGGTCTCTATGTGTTTCACACAGCATGTCAGGTTATTTTCAGAAACATCAGTCCATCTGTCTCTTTTTCTCTCAGCGAGGTTGCAGAGGAGGCTGTGGAGCGATGAAATCCTACTTTGTACCTCTGACTAGTGTTGACTTTGCTTTTTGGGAACATATAGACGTGAGTCATGATGCACTAGCTGTGTTTAATATAAAAAAAATGAATGTTTACATACATATTTATATACACATTAGATACTTAAAACCACCATTATGCAAATAAGTAATACAACATAATACAAAAACATCAATATACATCATGCACAAACTCTTTTATTGTTTATATTTACTTGTAAAGGTACTTTAAAAAGGCTTTGATATATTAATTCCTCGTACAAATCCATTTTTATCAGTTTTCCCATGCATTTCTCATGTTATCATCATATCAGCGATACCTCCTGATTTGAAGTATTGGTGTATTTTATAGACGATTAAATCCAGTGTATTACATAGAAAGTATTTCTACTCATTCATAGTGTAAATCTATGTGTCCAGGTTCATGAACAGGCCGTGGAGGTCCAGACTGGACTGTCTCTGCTGGTTCAGGCCCTGAGTACAGCAATGAAAGCAGTGAGCAACTCTCGTCTGGCCAGTGCACTGGATAACAACATCAGTAACATCCACAGCCTCAGCCAGATCCTGCACAGTCTTGATTTACAGGTGTAGTAACCACTGATGTGTTGTGACTATGAGCACATGTGTCTGTCACAGTAAGGTATATTCTGACATTAAATGGATAGTTCACCCAAAAATGAAAATTACCCAATGATTTACTCACCCTCAAGCCATCCTAGGTGTATATGACGAATACAATCGGAGTTATATTTCCCACTGTGCCAAAATATAATGAATCATGGTTAAAATATAATACTAGAGCAGGGCTGTCCAAACTCGGTCCTGGAGGGCCGGTGTCCTGCAGAGTTTAGCTCCAACCCTAATTAAACACACCTGAACCAGCTAATCAAGCTCTTACTAGGCATAGAAACTTCCAGTCAGGTGTGTTGAGGCAAGTTGGAGCTAAACTCTGTAGGACACCGGCCCTCCAGGACCGAATTTGGACAGCCCTGTACTAGAGTATATAGATATACTGTATATATATGCAGAGGCGGACAAAGTACTCAACTCCATTACTTGAGTGAAAGTTCTATATAATAACGACTTTCTACATCGAGGACCTTGATAGAAATGTAGTGGAGTGAAAAGTACAATATTTGTCTTTCAAATGTAGTGAAGTTAAAGTCACAAGTTCCCAGAAAAAATAATACTCAAGTAAAGTACCAATACTCAAAAAGTGTACTTAAGTACAATACTCAAGTAAATGTACTTAGTTACTGTCCGCCTCTGTATATATGAGTACACAATACACTTGAAATGGAAGGGGAAACTAGCTTAGTAACCAAAGCTGTTAACAGTAGTTGATTTTAGCAGTACAAACAGTCTTGGTTTGTTTCATGTGTTGTAATTTGTTTACGAGGCGATCCAATCAGATTTGAGAGCTGCAATCTATCCATTTTAGAATTTTTTGAGATAAATTTTCCCTAATGAGTCTGTTCTGTTTCCACAGCAGGCCAGATCCACAGTTCTTCCAGATGATTCAGCTCCTGCCAGCACACAGTCGCAGGAGGTCTCCTCTCTCCCAGAACTTCTGCAGGTGCAGAGCAGTTTCCTGCGTGGGAAAGTCAGACTCCTGCTTTCAGCTGCACCAGCCTGCCAACGGCAAAACAGCTGATGCGAACTCAGGAACTGTTTACAGCAGTCACAGATACACACAAACTCAGACACGAACACTTGATTGTGACTTGTTACTCAATCTTAAATCTTAAAGAGCTTATGAGTTCCAGGTGTCACTCTTTAAATGGTCTTCTGCATTCGAAAGCCTGTAGTCATGTTTCTAGAGAATGCATCACGTGTAGAGTGAAGTAACAGTCATGACACCTTGACTTATTCAACAAGGTGAACATGGCAGAAGAACCTGCAGAGGAACATTTCAGAGCCCACAAGTGGACTCAAAGGCTTATATCAATGTGGCGAACAGCTTGTCGGGCTGTATCCAGCCACCTGGACTACAGTACACCTGAGACACTTTTATTTAATTATATTTGTATGTTCAATTTTCTACAAATTCATGAATTGTGCTGTTATTTGTTCATTTTTTAGTAGGCAGTGTCCCTTATGTGTACGCATACTACAGGACCTGTCCTTTCTGAGATGTGTACATTTAACAGCAAGACCAAATGTCTTTTTTTGAGGATTCAGCAAGGTTTGTGATGTGGACACAATGCTGTGTGGCTGCTGTGGTATGAAATATGCTTCCATCTAGAGGACAAAACAGGAAGATTAAATAAAACTGCAAGTATACATAAATGATATAAGTGAATAAAATATTTTTTCAAGTAGACAATTTAGGACAATAACATGCAAATAAGGAGACAGGCCTGTCCGTATGTTTAATAACCTTTTTAATGTTGTCCAGTTCAGATACACAACATACAGTGTGTAATAGCCTGTATAGGAAATAGAAATATGAATTTCATTCTTTAGACCCACTGTGGTCATACAGTCCCCTCATCTTAAGCCGTTTGTATGTTGCTGAAATTCAACAAAATGAAACTCAACAGGTGCAAGTTTTTTTTTTTTTTTTTGGCGACCAAGCATTAATACTCTCAGTATTTTTTTTCTTCATTTTTTTTTCTTTAAATCCTCTATAATACATAGGCAACCCAGTCAAAAAGTATCACCATGTATTTCTGATGAGAGTGTGCTTTATATGTCTGTCAGTTGCCGGTAGAATCATCTCTCTCCCTTTATTTTTTAGAAAAATATGAACTGTTTAAATTCTCTACTTTGAAATATATGCAGCTCAAATTCACAACAAAGAGATAAGCCAGAACTCTGTGGAATCCCACCCCCACTCCAACAAATCTCCAATGGTTTGGGTAACATTAAATTTCTAAGAACTTACAACCAGGTAGGAGAAAACAAACACCCCACAGTGTCATTTAGTCCACTGAAGGGTAATGAAGAACACTCAGGAGAATGACTCAAAACGGCAGGCCTCTCGGAAAAAAACAGGGCTGACTCAAGCGATTTACATCCTACGGCCTCATACGAGGAAATAGAACAAGCTTCCCCACATAAACTTTCTCATTTAACTCTCTCCAACAAAATATTCTGATTAGGCCCTGATCGGTTCCACCCTCCGTTTTTCAAACGAAACAGAATCAGATGCAGCCACTCTATTGTCCATTGTCGGGTCTTGCAGCAAATTTGAATTCCAAATGCAATTACTCTCATCAAGTGCGCTCATTCTTGACTCAATATATTCTCTAATGTGGAATTCGCTTCGTTTCCGCTTCCCTCAACATTCATTACGATTTAATGTCTTTTGTCGAAAAGAAGCTTTAGTATCTGTAAACCTTCAAATGAAAATCTAATAAGGGTCTTCAGAATCGTGGGTGGAGGGATATGATTGGATGAATGAGCTTGCACCTGTTTATACAGTGGATACGATTGGCCATGAACTCAACAATAAACAAAATATTTACAAAGACCATGTCATCTCTTACACTTGTAAAAATGTACAGTTTGCATCTTTTGTTTTTCGTCATGACATGACATGAAGTGGTCTTGTGTGTTTTCCATCCACCCACCGACAAGAAACTCCAAAAACAAGACGACGAGAACAAAAAATGGATGGAGATGAGATCGGTACGCACAGTTGCTTGCATTATGGATCATAAATGTATATTTAAGTGGCATGAGGAGTGATGCCTCTTCCACTGTAATGCAGTATGCCTCTTCAGGCTGTGTTTAGTTTCTGACCGCCACTATGGCTCAGACCTGATGCACAAAGCTACCAGAGTGAGTATCCAGAGCTCATATAGAGGCCACATTTGTGCTGTTCCTCATACACTCACACTTACATGCGCATACATGAACGCAAATCGCCCATCTCACGCTTTCTCTCAGCCAGATCGTTCTTGGCACCCTGAAAGAGAGATTTCGGAAAAACACGAGAGGTGAGAGGTTGAACCAGAAGGTCTTACAGGGACTTGTGACAGGGCATGTAACAAGATGTCCACCTGATGACAAGTGAGCTCAAACTGAGATAATCACTCAAAGGTCAGTGTCAGTGAGGGGGAAGAATGTTCTGGACACATCATGAGCTCTCTTGGGCTCTGGATAAAAGAGAGAGATGGAGAGACTCCAGCTGTGCGGGAACGGGTGCAGGTGTTGATCCCGTCGCTCTGGACGTCCAACTCAGCAGAGTGAGTTTTTACGGAGAAATGGCGAGAGAGAGTGACACACTGAACTTTCCTTAACTCAATGTGGCATAATGTGTGGGTTACTACTGAGGACTGTATGAGCGGAGAGAGAGATAAAAGGGATAAAAAAGGAGAGGAAGGGACCGTGGATCTGATCAGTCCTTCTCCGGGAGATGAGCTTTGTCGTACAGCTTCCGTAATTATAAATGAAAAAAAAGAAGGGAACTATTTATCCTCTTTATTATCGTCAAGAATCAGTTTCATTTCCGGATATGACCATGTATCTACAGAGGGAAAAGAATCTCCAAATGAAGTGCACAAAATACAGCTGATGTAAAAAAAAAAAGAGAGAGAGAGACAGAGAGAAAGAGAGAGAGCAAGAGAGAGAAGACTGTTGCAGAAAAAGACAATAAAAAGAAAAGTCTTGAATCTCGAATGTCCATTTTACTCTTTAAAAATAAATCATGCAATTTTCCCAAAGCGCAATCAAGATATAAATTTAATTAATCTATATCTTTTTATATAGATATTTGTAGTGTTGTTAATTTCTCTCCATAGGCAAATAACAGTGACAGTGCAAAACAAAAAGCAAAAATGAGAGAGAGAGACCAAAGAAAAGAAAAACTAATTTGGCACTTTTTTTTCTCAATTCTGCAAATTCCTTGAATAAATCCAGTTCAAGTGATTCTCTCCACGTCCGTCCACTAGACTGCATCTGATTGGACGATGATCACAGTACTTGGCACAAGAATGCTGGTAAAAATTAGATAGTAGAATATTTTTTCATTCATAGCCTTATAAGGTTATCAATAATACATATTTTACACGTATGTTTTCTTGATTTATAAAACAGTCCGAAGCAGGAAAAACTGTTCTTTTTGGGGGACTAAAAATGGCTACAGCAGAGCAAAAGACTGTTGGGGAGAAGACAAGAAAGAAAAAGGGAAAGGTGGCAATGGAACTTGAGGGGGGAAAAAATAGGAGAAAAAACTAAATGGGAGGGGATAGCTGCTGTATTGAGTAGGGAAATTGGCCAACATTTCTCCACCCAAAATCTTCTCCAAGAATGAGAGGAGCAGGAAGAGTAAAACAAGAAAGAACGAGAGAGAAAGAGAGTGTGCTGGGAGTGGACTTAAAAAGGACAGGAGTGGTGTGTCGAACAGTATCCGTGTAGAGCACCACTCTTAGTACCGGAGGTCTGTGTTCCTATGTGTTTGGGGGGCCTGGTCCCCTTAGAGGGGTTACTATACTCGTGTGGTGGAGTGTTGGTGGGGCAGGGCGTTGTTGCTATGCCCAGCACTTGGTGCAGGCGCAGGGGGATAAGTGTTGAAGGCATGGAGGGGCTGCATGCCAGTGATGGTGCTGGGGATCATAGAAAGGGCGTTAGCCGTCATAAGTGGCACGTCCTCAGGTGCCCGCCGTAGCGCCAGAGTGTAGTCCGGCGGGCACACAGGTGGTCTTAGAGGCTCGAGGTCACCGTGGAGACCACGCGGTGGAAGAGGCGTGCCGTGGTCGAGTTCCACCCTTTGCTGCTTCATCTGCAAGGACATTAGCTCCTCCTCCTGGCTCAATGCCAGGTCGTTATGGGGTGGAGCCCCCACAATGCCAATGCCCGGCCCCGTCCCACGTTGAGGTGAGAGGCGTCGATGGCGGCGCTGCAGCAGCTCGTGCCGCTTGTCGCGTTTATAGTACAACGCGGCAAACGCCAGCACGTTGAGGAAGAGCAGCGACGCGCCCACTGCTACTGTCACGCTCAGCTCCGTCGAATAGTCCCGTGTGTCGCTCGGGAATGGGAAGCGTTCAGGAGGGTGTTCAGAACCTTCGAGGTCCGGGTCGGGTGGGTAGGTTGAGACCGTGGGGTGGCGAGTAGAGCGTGTGCCAGGGCTCTGGGCCGTGCCCTTCCAACCGGGCCGGTGCGGGCTGCCGGGTGGCAGCCGCGTGGTTATGGAGCTGATGATCTCCTCATGAAGGGTGTGGAGGTGAGGAACCAGCTCAAGCCAGAAAGCAACTTTGTTGGCACGGTAATTATCCCGGATGCGAGGCTTCAACCCGATGTGGAGGTACTGCTTGTCTTTAGAGCTGAATTTGGTCCAGATAACTTCCTCGAAGCGATTGGGCTTAGTATGGATGAACTTGGTATCCTGCGGTACTGGAATGTTCGGATCACTGGAAAAAATATTGAAACAAAGTGAGAAGAAAAAAGGACAGAGGAAGATAACTGCATTTGTACTCTGGTCTCACAAGGTGAACAAATTCGGACAGATCAAACTCTCACCCCGTCTTGGCGAAGTTGGTCCAGTATGTCATCACCACAGCGCTGAGCATGACATCGTTCTTGGAAAAGTTGCAGGGAAATAGATCTGTGGCACCCACCATGGGAACACCAAACACATATGGGATCTCGTCACCATGTGCTGCATCTGCCCACTCGGGTCGTGCTTCCGTCTGGCAGTGGTGGTGGAAGGTATAAAAATAAACAGGGGACTGGAACTCCGCATGCAGCTTAGCTGTGGCCACTGCTGGCGCCACCCACTGGTGGTCGGTAAAAAGTGCAAGTAGTGTTTTACGCCGCATGTCACTGTTATCGCGGTCAGCCCAATCTGTGTACATGAACTTTATGGTCTCCCGCAGTATGTCTTTACCTAAAAAAGGGACAGAGACACCAAGAGAGAAAAAGATGGATGTTGGTTGTTGAAAGACAGAGTTGGTTGTCACACAAAGCAGGGCACCTTGACCCAATATAGGAGACAGTGAGACAGAAGCACCCAAGGTGAGGGGTAAAATTAGACTGACTACCTTGAACAACCGGTAAAAGAATATGTAGATGTGTATGTCAGTGTTGCCAGCAGAAATCTGTGGGACAGTCCTGAATGTACATGTAATACATTTTCTTATGCACACTTATGCACAGATTTCATAGATCTTATTTGGACCTCAAAAGCAAAACATTTCTTTTAATAGGTATTCCATTCAGTGCCTGATTAGAAACCCTAAAAAAAGGTTACATTGTGTTGAATATGTACATATGACAAGTGATGTATTTTAAATCACTGCATTTAATTTGGCATGTATACAGCTCAGTGAATAGTATAATTTTTTTTGACGTTGTGCTGTAGACTGAGTGGCAGCAATGGCAGTGCAAACACCGGTCAATGTCTATGTTGCGAGTATGTATGGGTGTATCAGTGAAACTCACCATCTGGGTATCCGTAGAGGTTGTCCACAAAATTTGATATGGTGTAGTCGAAGGAAGCAGCTGAAATACCATCCTCACCCTCACTGTCATCTACAAATTTCAGCCCTTCACCCTGGTTCACCCCCAACAAGATGTCGTAGTTCAGGAATTCCCCCTGAGGACATTACACAAATGTCACCCATTGTACTCACTTTCACTAATTAACTGTCACGATTAGACTCTGAAGCACTCTAAACTCTGGGACCCTGCAGTGTCTAAATTCACACCTGCTGCATGAGGATCTCAGGGTCATCGGGTACCACATCACCGTCCACCACCGGTCCGAATGCAATGTGGTAGCGGGCAGGTTGAATATCCTGATCCACCAGCTCCCTGAAGCTCTTCCTTCGCAGACAGTCCACCAGATCTGCAGTGTCGCTGTAGCTACAACCCACCTTCTTGGCCAGGATCTTGGTGTACATCAGGGGCCGGTAGTTCACTGACCAGCTGGATATGGCGGAGCCACTCTGAGCAATGGCCCTCTGGAACAAACCTGAAACCAGGGCCAGTTACAAGACAATGACTAAGAATAGTCAAAGAGCAGGCTATAATGTGAGTGAGTCAACGTGGATAGAGTGTGACCCATGACCATGAGCAAGATAAAGACACTGAATATCTTTTATCACCACAAAGGGAAGGCCAGTGGAACTAATTTCCTACACAAGAAATGCTTTCCAGTCTGGTTTCTTAACTTTAGAACAGAATATTGACTTCAGAATAGAATAGAACACATTTTTTAACTTCAGAACAGAAGAGATTCTTAACTTAAGAACAGAGCAGAACTTTAACTTCAGAACAGAAAATAATATAATCTAAATTTTTGAAAAAGACCAGAACTGAATCTTAATTTCAGAACAGAACAGAACAGAAGCTCAAGTTCATAAAATAACAGCAAAAACTTCAGAAATTCATTCTTAACACATTCTTCAGAACATAATCTTAACTTAAAAAAAAAAGTGAATAAAAGAATAGACTCTTAATTTCAGAAAAAAGCAACCGATTCCGAATTTTAACTTCAGATCAGAAGAGAATAGAATCTTGGCTTCTGAAGACAAATGCACCAAAATAATTTCAATTGTACATTTTTGCATTTGGCAGACACTTTTATCCAAAGTGACTTGCATCGCATTGAACAGACAAACAATTTTATCAATTCATGCATTCCCTGGGAATCAAAACCATGACCTTGGCATTGCTAGTGCCATTCTCTGCTGGTTGAGCTACAGGAATGCCGGAATGCTGGGATGCCAGAATATGATTGGTATTGTGTGCTGGCTAGAAAGAGAAGTGAGGTGCAATATGTATTTAATCTTTACAAATATTTAATTAAACAGTGTGTCATGTAAACTCCGACCAAGACTGTCAATGTCATCTCAGACTTTTGGACCTTACTGTATATGAAACTGTGCTACACATATCAAATTAAAGTTCTGAAACTAGTTTTAATGGTCAGAGAAATAAGTTGCTAAGCTAACATGGTGCACAGTAGAAAGGTCATGCTGGCTTCAACAAAGCATAACCAATAACAGCATGAACCAACAGTCAGGAGCTCCTTTTAATATGTGTAGGGCAGGTAGAAACTCTGATTCATTACTTGAGTGAAAGTGACAAAGTGAGCTCAGCAGTGTTCAAAAAGGCTCTGGATAAGCATGAGGAAACCATCTTGGCTTTCAGAACCCTGCTGCACCATTATGTAAAGTGTCCCACGGTTTTCATCTGCAGATTCTATTATTAATTATTAAAATGTTTCCCCCACCCCCACCCCCAGTCTCTCTCACACACACACACACACACACACACAAAATACTCTATTGCAAGACCCCTCAGCTCCAGTTCCCTATGAAATCAATTAAGAATCAGCTTAGCTGCAGTCGAACACTTCTGCAACACACACATAGTTGTACATGCTGCTCATTATGAATTTGTCTCACATCTCTCCATTTTTATCACACAGCACTCATTATAAACTGGCATCAAATGCAGATGCACGTGTGATCTCGAGATAGTGGTGTAAATCAGTCTCGCATGCACACAAACTCACACACATACTGCAAGGCATTGCCAAAAATCAGTCCCACTTTCAGACAGCCGCACAGTATAAAAAGTATAAAAACATTTTGATCATAGAATAGTACATTGTAAAAATATATAGCACAAATAGGGTTATAGACTTTAAAACAATTCCAAATATCCAAAAATAAAAGTCTTCCAGGTTTGGAAGGGCATGAGGTTCAGTAAATTGCTCAGTGACAACCCAGGTAAAAAAGAAATACACTTAGTTGTACTAATATCGATTAACTTATTATATTTTTTATTATACTATACCAAGTGCATTGTTATTTTAGAATAACTAAGTATGTTAAGTGCTTTTTAAGATATGCTTAAGATCAACTTAATAGCAATATATCAAGCTAATAGCAACATATTTTAATATATTTAATTGTTTTAAAATGGAACTTCTTCAAGTATCTTTAGTGTAACTTAATTGTACTTCTTTACATTATTTAAAATACTTTTATACTTCTTGAGGTAGTTATATATTTTAAGCTTCACTTTAATGTGCTTCAAGAACATTTTCAATAGCGTTTCAGCTAATTAGAAATGCATTACTAGTACTAGTAGTATTGTTATAAAGCTATTTTTCAGCATTCTAATATGGTATATTAAAAAGTACAAAAATCATTAATTAACATGACGCACACGTACACACACTTTCAGATCTAGAAAACTTTAATGTACTTTACAACAATAAATCTTGTGCACATTACACCAATAAATTAATTGAGTACATTTAAAAAGTACAGAAGCATATATAAACTCTTGACCAAAATAATTATAGTAAATTACAATAAATTAAAATAAAGATCAGTGAAATGGTATAACAGAAATACTTCAATTTGTAGAAAGTTTCTGTTATACCTGTATTACTGGAAAGTACACTATGAATATTCCATCATCGAATAACAATGCATAATGCAGTTTTCTGTGTGCGCGCGCACACACACACACACACACACACACACACACACACACGAAGTTACCAAAAAACAATAAAGTGAATAAAGTGCATTTTTTACTAACTCAAGCCTGCAAATGGCTGAACTAAACAAAGAAACGAAAAACTTGAAATGTCACCATCGTCATCTTCAAGTGGAGGCTCACTTTTCTTTGAGTACGACTTGTTGCATTTTCTGCATCTGGGGGCATGTAATTCAGACACTGTGGTCTTTGAAAATTTCTTCATCACAGGGTCTGTGAAAGGAAAAATAATTAATCAGTGGTTTTGAGTGGTGTTTTTGAATATCATATGCATTATAATTTGCATAGATATGCATTAGAATTTCTTTGACTGTACTCAGTTTACATTTCAAAGCTTTTAAATCCTCATCATGCTTGACATAAGTGTCCGTTTTTATCCTCTTGTCTGTCGTCACCATACAATACTCTGCGTTACATTGAACATAAGGTTAGAAGAGGCCCAACATCTTTACAACAGAAGTGATGAATCCAAAGTTAGCATGATTCTCAGAGTCCCAATAATCACTTTATTAAGAAATATGTCAGCCAGAATGAAACCTTTGAGATTCACTGACATGAGATTAAAACACTTACCACTCTCTTCTTTGCTCGTCTCTCTGATCTGATTTCAAATTGTCTTCTATTGAAACAGCAGCTGATCTGAAAACAACAAATTAACTAATATTTCACAATAAAATACTGAAAAAAAAACAGGCAGGCAAATGATGATTAGTGTTTTCTTTTTAACAATGACAGCACAATGTACCTGGTGGGTAATATAATCAAAACCTTCTCAGCCCTTTTTACAGTTTAATCTTTGTACCCACAATCAAACAGGCAATAAAGTTGTAAAACTTGAAGGAATATAAACACTAATCAACAAGTGCTACCGAGGTGGCTGGACAGCTCAAGATGAAGTAATTGTATGGTCATAATGTGGTGTTTTTCAAACTATTGAAAGAACATTTACTTCATTACAATTAGGCCAAATTGTTGAGGGAAAAAAATCACAACTTCATTTTAATAAAAAAAAAAAAAAAAAGTATGTTAATGGTGTACATGCTATACTGACAAATTATTCTTTCTGCCAATACGTTGCACAATGTTTTTATAGTTGTGTTAAGAGACAAAATGCCACTACCTAGACTTTAAGCAACCATACTGTATATCCAGTGCCTACAGTTGTTAGATAACTAGCTAGTAAGTCAGTTTCGTGTTACAGCGGCTAACGTTAGCATTCCACGTGTTAGCTAACATTTGCAAATGTACACCAGCTCAATCCACCTAGGAAAAACTCAGAAGTGATCTTAAATTTAGTTAAACAAATGGAACTTATCACCAAGAAGCTGTATTTCTGCGGGCAATATCTTCATCTGTCCGTGTCTGCTTCGTCTTAGCATGCATACATTAAAAAAAAAAAAGAAAAAAAAAAAAAAAACAACTTTTAACTGGTAATGACAAGTAACAGAAATGAAATACTTAACTAGAGTCACAAAATACTGCGGTTCCAAATCTACACACAATAGGGCCTTTCGCACCGCTTTAGTTCCAGAACTAATGGCGCTTTTCCACTGCGTGGTACGACTCGGCTCGGTACGGCTCAGTACGGCACGGCACGGTTTGCGTTTCCACTGCAGTTCAGTACCGCTTTAGAGTGGGCGGGATTATTCACATGTCGTTAGTTGCGCCGCCTCTACTACCACGACTCCTAAAAAAAAAACTTTTTCATTCCGCGTCGCCCCATCAAGCTCTCGCTGGATCCGCTCCTCTGCTATCAAGAGAGGAACGTCTGTACTTCCGCAACAGACAACACTTTTTGGTTGTTAAAAAAAAGGTGCGCTCGTTCAAAACAGTTGCGTTCGATCCTTCGCTGGCTATGCTGATTTAAATCTAGCGGTTCTTTTGTGTTTGTGTTGCAAGTTCAGTGACGCGGGTAGTGACGATTCTCTCCGGCCAATCCGTGATCAGCAGAGTTTACACGTCACGTTTTGGTAACGGTACGGTTCACTTGGAACCGAAACGAATGTTTAAAAAAACTTCTAAAATCACATTAGATAAACGGCAAAAGTCAACAGGCTTTTCAAAATCCAAAATATTGCCAAACAGGCGCTTTTGCATTTCGGTTCGAAACTAATCATCCGCCATCATCTTGTCTGTGTCACCTCACTCTTCTTGTCAGTCAGCTTGACTCACTCTCCTCACTGGAGAAATTAAATCTGATCTGTGATGCAACTGTCGTTCGGCACGCTGCATTGAGCAGCCGCGTTCAGTTTTTAATTGTAGTGTCTGTTCTTTTACT